ACGATGAATGACGAATCCATAACCAAGTGTAACGATAAGTTATAAGATGCTCTGCCCGTAGGTAGAACCACCGCCAAAATTCTTCATTTAAAAAAAATTCATAACGTTTAAGGTACAACCATCGTATCGAATTTCATGCTTCTTGACAAACATTCCAAGTTTCATGTTGACGACGACATGCATAGAAACAAACGATTCTCCTTTTTTACTGGGCATGGCACTTCGCATATATATTGGAAATATGGACGGTAACTCTAGGCACTAAATTAGGACTTCTAGCTTTTCTCAAGAAAATTCCATGTTTTTATTCCGCAACTTTAATTCAATTAATTTTAAAATTTAGACATTCAATGATAACGTAGTTTTATTCATCTGCAAATACAAATATGTGAAATAAATATGTGAAATATAAATATGTGAAATTACATATTTAGTTTATTTACGAACTGAGAATGATTATAAGAATTTGGGTGAGTATATTCTGCTATTGTTGTGAAAAGTTTTAAGGGTATTGTTCTCACCATTTGTCGTCTATTATCTACTTGTCTTTGTGATTGATTCATCAAAGTGGAATTGTAATGTTGATAAAATGCCCAGAAAAAACGTTTTAAAATAGTCATAGTTTAAGGAAACAGTGAATTGTCTATTGACATTTTTGTTGATCTGATGAAAGCGTTGCTTAAGAATAACATCTTTTGTTTACACTTCATCATTGTTCAGAAGATTTCTAAATAAGATAATTTAAGTAAATGTTACTTCACGATTTGCTCAATATTTTACAGACAAAAATGACGAACGTAAATGGAAACTTAAAATGAACATCATACGTGTAGCTCCGCTTCGAAAAATCACATAGATGTCCACCGTGAACAATAAATACTTTCTTTAGATATACGTACGAGTCCACATTCATAAACTAACAACATTTAATCTTTGTTTCTCCATAGTATTTGGTGATCATTGGCCGCACAACAAAATAACTTTCAAGTCTATAATCAAGCATAGAATAAACATTAGTTTCTAAAAAGTAAACTTTATGGCAACAAATATTTAGACCTCACACAGCACATTAGAAATCAGCGTAAACATTTTGAACTGTAATGGAATAAAAGAACTCTGTCAAAATGAGCATCAAAATACATTTACCTGAATTTGCATGCTTACAGAGAACTCCAACAAATATGTCACAGAAGCGTGATTTGTATTTCCACTATAACTATTCTTCAAGTACGTATTAAATGATGGCCAGGTAGATTCAAACGGCAGGTCACGTGTTCTTTGAGTTAACTTCGAAATATGCCACAAAAATGGACAAACACGTGCGTCTTCTGATTGGTCAGTTTCTATGTGTGCTGTCAATTGTACAGGACGTATATATTGCTCTATTTTTAAACACATAAGTTCTCAGACTGAGTTAAATCGTAAAAACGACAAGTTAAATGCTTCTCATTTATTGTTGTATTCATTAGGCAACAGTTTTATTTTTATTTTTAGCATTTCAATAGTACATCTTTTATAGTTTGACAAGGAAATTACAAAAGTTAAGAATATTTAATGAACTATTGTTAAATGCGTCAGTTCAGTTTATTGAGTTCAAGGCTAAATCCACTGTAAACATCATCTCTCTCAATCATTATTTTAAGCAGGGGAGACGGAACATTAATAATTCGTGGGGTGGAACTATTTATATATTCATGTTGTACTTTAATAGTTTCTAATGAAATATATTGTGTTTACGGATTATAACATATGAATATATGAATATAGCCCTCGCCAAATTATCAATGTTCTTCCGCCAATGGTTTTAAATGTTGAAATCTAGTTGAATTAGATTGCAATTGTTCTTGTTGAATTCTTACATAAAAGGAGAAATTTGAAAATCTTTTACCAAATACTTAATTGTCGTCACTAGTTATACTTTACACTAATTTTGTATTTATCTAATAAGTCATGATAAATTTGCGTTCTTTCATGAATGTTTAATGATAAAATTGTGATTCAAGTTCTTTTATGTTGAATGATTAATGTGAATGATGTACTCTCATGAATGTTTAATAATAGATATGGTATAACGTTTTTGAACAACTCTCACTGTGCTAACTGGTTAACACTGTCTGTAGATACGCCCAAAATTATAATCGTAATTTATGAATTAAAAAACTAAAGAATCTTTTCGAAATTTCCCCAAATCATTTGGCCACATCACTATTACTTCCCTCTCAACATCCCAGGTTTGATGTATAAATTCTCTAAGTTTTAATCAAATATCCACAGAGCTTATTTCCATTATTACAGTTCACATTTAAATCCTGATTTATTTTCAATGTCCACTGTTCACTGTACGTAAAAATACACTCGTGTTTTGTGCGTGGAATTTCACGAAAACATGCAAATATGCATTCGCCATTGCAAATTAGGTACGTGATGCGTACAAATATGAGCAAGAAGTGGATTTGTGAAGAAGACACGGATAATTAATTTCATTGATGCTCATCTTCTTTTTCTGACATGACACTTATTGATCCATGTAATTTATCAATATGACACAGCATAAAATGTGCTCACAATTTGTTAACACGACACAGCAATTGATAGCAAACCTTAATGGTAAGCTTGTGCTTTGAATGTATGTCACATGTCTATGGATGATAGCATTCTTTAAACCGATCGAATTGGTATAATAGTTAGTTCATATTACAACGTTAGAAAGAAGATCTTTGAAACAGTAGAAAAGGTTATTTCTCATGGTTATAAATCAGCTACTACTAATTGTGCAAGTAACTCGTAAATTGTACTTACCACCAAACATTGTGTACATCAAACATACTCTATACTGTTCAATGAATAATCGGTAATAGCATTCTTTTCACATGACTTTCTTCGCTGCTAAGATTATTTGACTGTAGATAACCTTTGCTTTTCTATGTAGTGACAATATTATCAAGTAGTAATTTCTTCTCGCAAGGCTTCAAAAGACTGACTTCTTTGTTTGCCTGCGCCAAGCAATAAAATATAAAGCATCCTGAAACGAAAACTACATAAATCAGATTTAATGAATAGAGTTTCAAGTTTTAAGTCCGAACGCTATTTTGAATTTTACCCATCATAGTGTCATTGTTTGTTCTTATGTCTAGAATTTTGTTATATTTGTCATAAAAAACCTAAATGTCGTTTTCATGGTGGAATTCGCACTTCATATGTTTTATATTGATGCATCTGTTAATTTTCGTGGGATTTTTCCAATAACACATTGGATAATTTATCATTTCAAAATACTGACCTTTCTTGCATTATCACCAACAATTAATTTCATTAGTCTTTTTAAATATCATTGGTACGGCAGGGCTAAAAAGTCAAGAAAATGAATCTAAATTATGACATGTCACAGAATTTCAGTTTTGCATATCATTATATGCAACAATTTTAATTTTATCTAACATGGCTTTTTTTCTCATTCACATAGTCATCTATCTTTTTATATTATTCTTATCACAGATGATGACATGAAAACGTTTTGGTAGGTATGTCTTTAGACATTGCGCCTACTTGGAGTGAAAAGCTTACTTCTTCACGTGATAGTACATGTGATTTTTTTCTGCTCTATAACTGTTAAACTTGTAGTAAGATAGACAATATAAAATATTTGTTTGCGTCAAAAGTTCACAAAATGACAAAACTTTGCATGATGAACTGTCAAGTATGAACACCATCAATTTTGAAGTTTCTCTGATTACTGAGATGTGACAAAATTAATCAAAATTAGGGACTTCGAGATAAATTACTCTGAAAATCCCTTTTCAATTAAAGACTTCCCTAAAATCTTAAGTCACCCAACTTTTACTTGCTTCTCACCCCCCTTATCAAATAAATTGTTTATCCGGATCAAAAGTTTACAAAATGACAAAACTTCATTGACCACGTTTCAAAGTTGGAACGCTGACAATTACAGAGAGGATGTTTATGGATTTTTTTAACTTATTGCAAAAGTTGCTGTTAATAATTTTAATTTTGTTGAGCTATCTTGTTGGTATGAATGGTATTATACATTTTGCGTAGCTACCTCGTCTTTGCGTTTATTGATAATTTAGTTTTCCAGAACATTTCAACACAGTAAAAGGAAAAAGGCTATTTTAGCCCCCAATATGGAGCCAAAATATTGACCCCAGAACTGCCCCACACTTTAGAGCCAATTTTTGCCCTTTTAAGAGTGAACAAATTCGGCACGTTTATTTTGATAATTTTACCCCCAAAACGTAGATGAGACAGCCCCCGGTTATAGGACCAATTTAGCCCCATAGCGAGCTATTTTTCCCTTTGTGTGAAATTCAGCTCTAGACAGAATAACCAATTTAGCCCCAATATTTCATTAAAACGGCCATGGCTAAAAGCAGCACGTGCCCAGGAAAGAAGTGAAACTACCTAAAGTTTGCAATTAACAAGTCTCGTACAATATACACATGCACATAAATGTTTAACATCTTCATTAAAACACCTTACACAAATAAACTTCACAAAATATAGAATTGAAATAAAACATGCTCGAATATGGCATACATGTCGGCTGGTTCATGTATCATTAGTTGGAGACATTTGATAAAGCGTACTTTATTATTATAGAATATAAGATTGTTAGTTGAATTTTCAAACATGTATTAGCTAGTTTTTGTGGAAACGACCGCATGTAGTGCTCGTGTCATTATGAATAATTAATGTATGTAAAAGTTTTATCGTGACTCGACATTCTTCACTTGCAGACTGTTTATGTTTTGTAAGATATGCTAATTCTATAGGAAATGCTAAATACAAATGAGAGGAAACAATTTCTGAGAGTTTAGATCAAATGGGTGAACTACAAATTTAAAACAGATGCCCATTTACTGAAATCCACTGTTTTAATTAAATTTTTTCTTGTATGGTAGCAACAGTTGCTAGTAGCTAAACTAATTATTTGCCCACCAATAAGATTCCTTCAATTTCATCAACATTCCTTCTATCTTAGCAGCCTGCAGTGTTACACTGCGACTCTACGTCTGCTATGATAAACAGATAGCATCATTTTTCTCAAGACTTTTAACGGTATATTGACAAATTTCTGATTTGAACAAGTTCTTCACTCCTCTCGACAAAGGTACGTCTGATTTACACGAATTTTGCCATATATAAGTAGAGACGTTTGTTCAAAGAACAAATTTTTTTAACTGTTTGGTTTCTGATGTCTGATAAAATGACTAACTAAGCGTTCAAAATATATTAGCGATATTCCCAAAGGGATTCTTGTTGCTCTTATGATAGCTACTAAGTTCGTCTATTCTCACAAAATAAGATTCGTACCGTTTTAAATGTCACTATTTTCAGACATGGGATTTCTAGAGAAAAACTGTTCTGATATGAGTCATAACAGGTCCCTGTTAGTGTCATATATTTTCTATTAACCGAAACTTGTACTTAACCCTCTAAAGGCCATATGTAGTGAAATACATCATAATATAACTACGCCATACGGTCTGCGTTAAAGTACTCAAGATTGACAAACTTTTAGGCGGACACACGTAATGTGTGTAGCATTACATAATTTCGGAGAGTTTAGATGAAATGGGTGAACTACAAATGTAAAAACAGATGTCCATTTACTGAAATCCACTGTTTTAATTAAAACTTTTCTTGTATGGTAGCAACAGTTGCTAGTAGCATAACTAATTATTTGCCCACCAATAAGATTCCTTCAATTTCATCAACATTACTTCTATCTTAGCAACCTGCATTGTTTGACTGCTACTCTACGTCTGCTATGATAAGGAGCTTCACAAATTCTAAAAGCAATCGCATTGAAAATAAATGATACATTCACAAATGATACATTTCTCGTCTCTTGTTACTTCTGCTACGATTATTCAATATTGCAAGAATACTTCTGACAGATGGCAAATGCCTTTTAATTGTCTGAAACAAATATTTGAAGAAGTAAGAATTTTTAAAACTGCAAAGTTGCATTCCTCTATTTAGCTTTTTTGACTTTTTTTATTTTAGCAGTTCTATCAAAATGCTCATAAATTTCATTCAATTCAGAAATTATGTAATTTTGAGAGTCAAACTTCTCTCTACGACTGACAGATGTTGTAAAGCAGAATATCATGTATTGCATAGCGGCCTCGTGATTCTGTTAAACACTGCGCAACAGACTATTTTGCACTCAACTTTGCTGGCTTAGTTAAGCAATATGTCTTTCCCATTCATCTGGTAAACTAAGTTCACATGAGCAAGTTTGAAATCAACCCATTTTAAATTGTTTCTAAACTGCCTTGGTGAATTTCATATTTTGCGTCATTTAATTATAATGGACATTGAAATGTATTATTTCACTCTATGCTTTCGTTGCCTAGAAACCTTACATCTATTTATGCAAAACAAGTTATACGCGGGTGAACTCTACTTATATGAATTGTTGTAAAATTAGTCATTGTAACGAACAATTTGTCTAATCTATTGCAACAATATTCAATCATCATCAATTTTCTGAAAGTAAACGTGAAAATACTTTTTGGAGAAAGAAGTTAAAATGTTACGTAATTGTAGAAATCAATACTTGATTTATACATCACAAAAAAGGCTAAGAACAAAATGAATATATGATTATATTGATGATAAGCCTTTCATAAATAAAGTAGAAATTTTATTACGAAAGCTTTAAAGAAATTAATAATCGTTCACCTTCTAACAAATAGAAAATAAAGATGATATCAAGCTCAACAAAAGCGTTTCTTTGGTCTCTTATAATCCTGTCTATTTGTGGGCAAATAGTAAATGGAAATGACGACATATCAATCTGCAAGAAAAGCTTAGAGACACTAAAGGATAACGTGGAAGAATGGATGGAAACCTGCGTTGATAAAGATGGCAATGACGATAACACAACTGCATGCAAGGAAGTAAAACAATACAACAAAGAAATGATGCAAATGCAAACAGAAATGTGTTTTTACGAAGGTATAAACTTTAGATTTGATAAATTTTCATAGATTCTTGTTCATAGCACTAAAATAAAAATATGCAACAATAATAGGTAGAAGTTATGCAGTCAATCTAATTTCAGTTATTAGTAATATTTCTACAGTGAAAAATTCTTTCTAAAAATACTGATTCTGGTCTTTTACCAAATATTATGATCGTAAAGTCAATAAAAATTTGCATTTTTTTAATCCACTCGCATCGTTGTTATTTATAGTTTTTTTTATTATTTATTTAGAATTTTATCCAAAGCCATATTTGATTATTATGAGCTTTGATAAAGTATACACTGTCGATTCTATTACTGGAGATATTCATGTCAGCTCTATTAATGGATCCAGTAAGAATAAATTTGACCATGCATCAAGATATAATGACATCGAAATTGATGTAGTTGAGAATGTGCTTTACTACATTGATGACAAAGACATCAAACGAGGAAATTTTGACTTGACTAGAAACGAAATTTTGCGAAAAATGTTTCTGCTCGTGATATTACAGTTGACTGGATTGGTCGTCGTATCTTTTACATTGACTCCACAAACATTATCTACCAAATTTGTTTGAAAAGAAAATTACAAGTGTTATGAGGCTTCAACCAGGCTTACAATTTTCCAGCATTGCATTTGACTCAAAACATGGGTAAGGCGATATTGAATTTTTTTTATTAACTTGTTAACGCAAAATTACGAAACTATGTCAGTCTATTGGAGGCTTTTCTTCAGTAAGGTAAGAGTTTTTATTTTTAGAGACGGTGTTTTAATTTAATAGAAAAGTTGAATTTTAGAAGTCCGTATTATGGTTTGTTATTTAAAGGTTTAATAATAGAAAAAACATATCTATTTTCGAGGAAAAACAAAACTCGCTTTTTCCCGAGGGAGCGAATATTAAGTATTTTGTTGGCTATAAAGAAACAAACCTCATATATTTCGACAGATTTTTATTAAAATCAACGTCTTTCGGAGAGATTTGGCAAGAAAAATTTTATTGCGTTACTATATGGCATTTCAAACCAACTGCAATGTTAAACACATTTCGTGTGATCATTCAGCACACATGCAGTAGAAAATAACATGCAGATCATGAAATTGCAAAAATCGACAGTGATATTTATGTTAAGGAAGGAAAGAGCTTTGAGAAAAAAAGGTAACAACGAGGGATCAATGTTTATATATGATGAAGTCATTAAATGAAATGAAACAGAGCGGTAGAAACTGAAAAAAATATTAAATAATTACTTTGCACATAAAACTTTAGTCAAACACTCACAGAGCTTGGCTTTCCCAACCTATAAAAAGTAGTACAACTTCACTGTGCAACTTAGTGTTGTACATTTAATTCCATTACTGGCTTCGCTAGCCACCTAAGAGCTTTTTTCTTTGTCAGAAAAAGCAATTTGCTTGACGCCTCCATGGTAATCATATGCTTAATAAGATATGCCCTACAAATAAGATTTCAACAAATTGGGAGCATTGTTGGTTGCTATGCTGTGCTTTTTTGTATACTTTTTTGAGGCAGTGTAAGAGATGTGCAACAATATCAATACGGAATGACAATAAAGTTTTAAAATATTCACGAATGTGGTGAACGTAAAAAAAATCAACTTTTCGTTTTGTAATGAAGATAAAAAGAACTACACACATTCCGACGTAGTTAGTTTTCAAAAAATGTGACAATTTAAAAAAACATCATCATTATATCAAGTTTATAGTTTTTTCAAGCTTTCTTTTAAATTGCATTGAATGGCAGAGTATATTGAAAAGTCGAGAGCTGCAAATTAAGTGGCTGCACACTTCCCTTTAATAAATCCAATCACACAACCAATCAAATCACCTGAATGGAAAATCATTCCACTACCTTTAGTGCATGCATTCTTTCTTTGTGTAGCTTAGGAAAACGTTAGGTAGGTAGTTGCTCCACTGATGATGAGTCTGAAGATAATAATCATGTGATTATAAAGAAATTGGCTGAAAAGCCTTGTTGAGCGATAACTTTCAGAATATATTATAAATAATTTACGAGTTTAAAATAATTTCCTCTTCTAACAATTCCTATGAACTCTTCATTGATGAGAGCCTTCTAATCAATAAATACAAGCCTTCACTCTTCGTGCAAGGAGGTTCCATTCCACTTAACCTCTCTTAACTTCACTATATTTTACTTCCCAAATTCTTTATCATGTAATACATTTGACAACGCCTCCTTTAGTCGTAATTTAACACCTTTTGTAAATACAATATCTTGTCTTAACATGTCATTATAATTTATTACTTGCCTGAATATGTCTTGAGTAAGGACGAAACGTCAGTATAAATTCAATTTTACAACTTTTGGTCTATTTCTATGGCTCCATTTAAAACTTTATGTTAGGCATTAATTTTAATCATATTACAAGAAAAAATTAATTTTCAAGAACACAAAAATCCAAAAGAACGGTAATATATACGAGAAAGTTTTTAAAGAGTTCGGGGCAAGGTGCAATGAACGACAAGAAGAAATGGACTTTGCTGTTACTCAAATGCGTAATATATTTAAGAAATGTATTGGAGAATGCAAATATGCTCCGATGATAATCAAAACTGCCAGTTGCATCAAACATTTTTGATAAAGTAAAGGCCATAGTGTTCAAGCAGTTTTTGCAGCTTTTTTAATCCAAAGTTGTTAAAAACACGAACATGACCTTGCAATAGAATCATCATTTTCAAATAGTACCAATAGCGCTAGCTCCAGTGTCAATCTTTTTCTGATTTTTCAGAAAAATAATGAAAAAATTTGACAATTAAAAAGAGAAGGTTAGGATAGTTTAAAAAATCGTTTGTCCAAACAAACTGAAAAAAAGTATCAACAAAAGACAATGTTTGTGAAGCTATAGCTCTTTTAAAGACATTTGTAGACGATGATCCATCCAAAGAGCTGCTACGTTTCATGCAAGATGAAACTGAAAAATTAAGAAAGCTTAAAATTGAAATGACAAAGCTTTCTTTATTTATATCTACATTAAATAGTGCATATTATTTACCAACACCAAATTTTCAATTCGAACAAAATTTCCACGCATCAGCTAATTTTCAGCATTATCAATTACCAATACAATTCATTCAGCAGCCACTCCAAATTACAGCATTACTCGTTCCTACAATAATCTTAAACAATACCAATCATTTTAGAAGTTATGTGAATAAAAATAACATATTACAATTATTATGCTCTGAATCACATGCAATGTTTAATTACTTCATATATTTTAGTTCGGTTTTTAAAAGAGAGATTTCAAATGATAAAGATGATCTTTTCCTTTTAGTTACAATAGCTTTATGTTGCTATATTATCAAATCTTATGAATATGTTACATTAAACCGTCTATATATGAAGGTAGTTCTGAATACTTTGACAACATCTTTGTCTAAGTTAAAAAAAACATACTATCTTTCCTTTCTTGCATATATTAGCCTTTTTATTGTTTATATATTTCAGTACGTATAGAGAAAACTAACGTACAAAACAAATATTTTTATTAAGGTATCTATTCTTGGCAGAAAGTACAGAAGTTTTCTTATGGTTATGGAGCATGACTGCAAATAAACATCATATTTTTTCAGTTTCAATTCGGTCAATAGCACATGATCTAACGCTTGACATGGTCAAAGAGAAAATTTATTGGCGAGTTTCAAACGGAAATGTTTTTTCTTGTGATTACTACTCCCATAATGTAATTGATTTTGGAACTTCAGGAGGTCCCATGGCAATATTTGGGGATTTCATTTATATCATGACTAATGTCGGAGGAAGTGTCGTTAGTGTCCATAACACTACAGATCAACGTACGAGGCGTAAATTTTTTCTTCCTGTAAACAACGGTTATCTTGATTTGGCTGTAGCTATACACGGTATCACTCCTGACTTAAACGGTAGTGAAATATTTACTTATTTGACATAATAATGTAAGACTTGCAAAAACTTCCACGCTAATGTACATAAAATAGAAAGACGTTAAAAAGTTCAAAGTTACATTGCCTAAGTAAACGGTTGTTCTTCCTCCAAAATTATAGAAAATTTGATAAACATTAAGTTCAAAGTGCAAAATGTCTAATTTAGACGTTTTTGCCGTTTGTCTATTCTTGCCAATCTTCTTGGGTGTTAAATTTAATTCTTTATTGTTTCTTACATGATTTCAACAATCAAACTGGCTTGTAATCAGTCCTAAATAAGAAAAAATTTCATGAAAAAAGATTGAAAGACAAAACGTCCAATTTGAGCATGTTGTGCTGTGAGCTTAATATTTATCAAATTTTCTAAAATTTTAGTACATTGCAAAACAGAGTTCAAACTTTTACATCTTTGGATTAAACTAGATTTGAAACTTTTCATTTTCTTTGTGCATGCAGTTCAAATTAAAGCAATTACGAAGTACTCTCATGGTTTTCGAAATTAATTTTTAATTCATTTTACATTTAAATAAACAACACAAGGCAATGCCAAAATAAACGAGTTTTGACACATTTTGCGAGAACTATTGATGAATTGATAATTTTCTAACATTTTTCAATTATCTAACTTCTTAGATACATCCTTTATAGTGTCCAAACAGCCAGCAAATTTGTTCATACTCTGTGAATTTTCAACATTTATTTAATTGTTTTGTTTTTACGATATTCGTGAACACCAAAGGTACCACCACTACATAGCAAACTTGCTAGCTGGGCACGTCATAGTGGATACTGAGTGACAAATTGTGTTCTTTGAGGAAGAATATGTTTCGTTTAAAATCACTGGTTGATTTTAATTTTGATTTTATTAATCTATATAGCGACAAAAACTTTTCGCTTTCCTTCATGTGGACCCTACACATACTATCGTAAAATTAATGGAACATTGAATTGCACGTGTATGGAAGGATTTTCAGGAGAATGTAACTCGTGCCAAGGTATGAATGTATTAGTGTCTTTATCGAGATCTTTTAATCACGGATCATGAATAAAGAGCATCTCTGTGCAGTTTTAAAACTTTGTTCTTTGTTGAGAAATCTGAAGAGTTCTCTGTGCAGTTGCTATTGTGCAAGGAATTTTCTGCATCTACAATTTACATGAAACCACAAAAAAAAGGCTCACAGCCACACATACAAGCTCATCATTATCAATACAATCAAGCAGGAAATCAGTACTAAATTTATGAAAAGCTTCAATACACTTAAAACTCCATCAGCACACTAAATTGGAAGTATATGGTTCTCTAAATGATAATAGCATATGTTAAATATTTGTAAATGTAGATCGTCCAGGTTGGTATAGTCCTGAGAAGGACTGTTTTTGTTGTTGTTGACTGACGTTTCGACAACCTTAGCGGTAGTCATCTTCAGAGTCATTTTGACTGGACGATCAACATTTACAAACTTGTAACGATACTCCCGGGTTCAAACCATCTACTTTAGCATATGTTAACATCAACACATTTTGATTTTCTCTACATAAGGGAGGGGGTAGGTTTAGGGTTAGGGTTAGGGTTAACACTCCTCCTGCAGTTAGCAACATAGCTATAGCCCTGCTAACCTAGATACACTATATTAAATAATTTTGACTTTATTATGGGTTGGTTTCTTGAACTAGGAATTCTGTAAATCCAAACTACTAGTACTTTTATATCTCGGTCTTTTTGATAAGTCTTGCTTCTTATTATTTATTCTTTTCTTCTCTATAATTTTTCTTTTGTGTCTAGCTGGAAATGTAGATAATCGATTCATGTTACTTAGTAATGGCATGTATTTCTATGTTTCATCTTTCTTCCATTATCAGATTGACCACGGTGTTATTTTATTTACTTTTCTCAATATTGACCTCATGCAATTAAATTCATGTTGCTAGATCGCTTTAGTTCTCTTTGTTTACTGTCTCTATTTCCTCAAATCAATGTTTGCAATCAGTTCTGCTGTTTTCTCTTATTTGCATTTTATTTGTTAGAATCTTTCATCAGCTAGTTTTGAAATAAATTGATTGCTCACTAGCATTGAGGATTGGTTGATTTTTTAATTCAAAGCGCTCTTTAGTAAATTCAACAACGCTTCAATAAAAAAAATGTAGGAAATTAAAGTTAGCTACATTTCATATATTATGCTCCATTAACAAGGTCTTAATACCTCCCATATATTAAATGTTGTTTAAGGTCGTCCCACATTTAACTTAAGGCTGAAACACACTGGGCAGTCGCTTCAGTCGCGCGTCCAAAGCGAATTGATGCGCACGCGTCAGTCGCTTGAACGCTAGAAACACACATGCAGCGACCATCGCGACATTTACCGTGGCGTCTATTGAACATGGCGGTGATTTTGGTTTGTTACAGACACAGATATCACTTACACTTTTTATTTTGGCCTTTGTTATAGCTACTAATATATGAATATTTACTCAGTACAAACTACTATGTGGAGAAAAGAGAACAAGCCAGTTAAAACACGCCAATATGATCATAGCACATTACGCGTATATCGTGGATAATCTTATTCTGTGCATTTAGGTTGTGCATTAGGGTTCCAGTTTGTAGCTCCTATTGTCCCTATTTGATAAGTCATATAAAAACTGAAAGATTCCAGTGTGAATTCACTATATATTGCCTTCGTTTTCCAAGGTATAATCTATAAATTTCGTATGATGCTTATGACAGGAAATATGATATACATTTAGGAAGTTAAAATGTATCTATTGGCCAATCAGTGTAAAGCGACTGAAGCGACCAAAGTCAAAAGTTCAACATGTTGAACTTTCAAAGCGACTAGCTGACGCGACTAAGCTACTAGCTTAGTAACCACGCAAAGCGGTAGTTTTAGACGCGCGACTAAAGCGACTGCCTAGTGTGTTTCAGCCTTTATGCTTATCTAACGCTTCTTTACATTTATTTTTCAGCTTTTTCATCATGTAAAGAAGCACTAAAAGATAACAGGTATAGTATGCCTAACTCATAATTTATTACGAATTCGTGTTCATTATATGGTTAAAAAAATTTTGTGTACCTTGTTATTATTTCACGCTCATTGAACTCATTTCCACGCTCACGCTTATTTTGTCGCGGTTGGTAAACATAAGACAAAAAAACATAGTTAAGCTTTGTGTAACTAGCTTTAGACAAATGACTCGACAGACATTGATTTTATTGGTTTTTATTTTTTCATTAAAGCAAATAATTATTTAACTAAAAACATAATTAACTATTGAAATAGTCTTTATCTGGGGCGGATCTAGAGTAAATAAAAAAAGTCACGCGACTGATGTTTACAGATCAAAAATTAGTCATCAAATTTAATGCTTACAATTCTATTTTGTCATTGGACTAAATCACTAAGGAGTTACGTGAGATATGCTTGTGCAAATCTAGTGTTTAGTTTCCCACGCTAGTTCATTAGTGACGATAGCAAAATCTTATACATGGCGAGAAAATCTGATTTGGAAGAAATTTTACCGTATGATCTCAAAGAATTTGACATATTGAATGATAATCGATAAATATCCAATCAACGAAAAACAGATGCAAAAGTTCTTCAAATTTAAATTTAGTTTTATTGAGCAATGGAGAATCCATGAAATATGTGAAGTAATCAATATACTATGGTGGTGCATGTAAAGCACATGGAAACGGATGAACCGATGAAGACACGACCGAAAAGCTTAAAACAATCTGATGTTCAAGTCGATATGACACCCTGGCCAACACCAACATAGAGGTTGAAAAAAGTGTCAAAACTGCTGGAAAAGAATAAGATGCTATGCTAACTGAAGATTCGAAAGACTTCCATTAAGATGAGGACATAGGTCCAATTATAAATCAGCAACTTGACATTATAAACAAACGTTAGTCTGCTAAACTAACCCACAAAAAAATCAAAGAAATATGAAAAAATACGCAAGACCGGCAAATTCGAAGAAACTGAATGTTCCAGAAAGCAATATGAGGGAGTCCTATCAAAATGCAAGAAGGTTTACTGTAAAAAAATAAAATTAAAACTAACTATGCTTTTTTCTTTCATCTCTGAGCATAGATGGCAAACGTTGAAAGCACTGTCTATTGAGCATTTGTAACTGGTAGGTGACGAGTGCATCTTTTAATTCACAAAATTACTCAGAACATCAAGACCTGGCAGTAGTCAGTGCCATTTAGTGATAAAATCCTTCACCGACAACGTTACCTCTTGTCCCTTCAAGATATTAAAATTATTTGGTAAGAGCAAGGGACATACAAGACAGTAAAAATAAACTATTGTTGATTATACTAGTTACCAAAAGCCGCATAAAATCGTAACATCTGACACTCTATCAAGGTGGCTTGAAAAATGTTGAAAATGGCTGGAATTACTCATTTCACGGGACACAGCACCAGAGCTGCCTCATCGTCTGCAACAATATGGAACAATGCCGATATTACAAGAATCCCACAACAGGCTTTATGGATAAATACATAATTCCCTGCACAATAAAGAGAATTTTGGGCAAGCGTTTTACAGTCTTGTGCACAATACCAAATGTAGCAAAAGATCGTGTTATTATTATTAATTGAGAGTGGTTTTCTCCAGAATAATTGTTTCTTTTATAGGTTTTAACTATTGCGTACGCTCATAATCCCAATATTTTCAATATCTAACGTGACAACTTAGTGACGTAGTCCAATGACAAAATAGAAATTTAAAAATTAAACGAGGCTTACCTGAAAGTTGAATTTTGATTGTAATTCTTTTAGCTATTAGAAAAGGAAACTATAAGGATTCACCCACTCCCATTAATGCCTGAGAGACCAATTAGGTTTGTTTTCTCAACCTATGGGTTTTTTCTTATGTTGGCATCACTTGTAAAGTTAAACACTGAACACATGATCTGTATGCGCATATCTCACTTGAATAACTCATAGAACATGCGTTATGCAATAGCTCATAGAAATACAATAAACAAGTAAGTTAAAACAATTACATGTAAGTTTAACGTTAAATTTTCAAATTTTTTGTAATCATTAAATTCCCGATTTAAACTAGCTCGAATTTCATTGTCAAAATTTTGTTTTATATCTGAAAACGTATATAAATATCACCTTGACAAACAGATCATTTGAAATTAACCTATCTGGAAATATATTAAATGACTGACTGATAAGCGTGTTGGCTCGACTGGTTTGACCGATAATGGGGTTCAAGAACGCTAAGTAAGCCTTTTTATTAATCAATTTCCTAATCACTGTTCCATCTTGAATAATCTCGGCCGATAAACAGGGTGGCCCAACCGATAAGGAAGTGCATTGCTATTGTGTAAATAGTTCGTCTAACTTTTTGTCTTATTGTCATTGGCTTTACCAACTTCAACTGATAGCCAATTGAGATAAAAGCGGATCTCTCGCAAATGATTTTTATGACGATAGTCAAAAAATATGAACTGTCCCATTCATCATTTCCAACTTAAAGCAGTACATAGAGGTGTGATTTATAGTCTCTAGGGGGGTCTATACAAGACAACTTCGTAAAAACTTAACTGTTTTGGATTACCATTATTGTAAATTGAATTTTATGTTGCTAATAAGTCTTAGCATTTAGCATAACATCCAACTCTTGTAAACTCCAAAGTTTTTTTTTAAAAAAGGTTAGCAAAATGTGTTATTTTTACGCAAAAACTAACTCCACCAAAAATTTCTATTGCTCTACAACGATAAAAATGGCATTTCTGAGACTTTGAAATTCAAAAATTCCCACATTCGGTGATATTTGACTGATGTTTGAAAAATCATGGATCTGTTGAGAATCGTACTTCCAAATTCGTAGTCCTCGATAAGTCACAATCGATTAAAGTAAACACGCGAAAACAAAGTTTACAAAGTTGTATTAACTAGTAAAATTCTCTAAATAACATGTACGTTCGTTACTGTATTGTACAATGGACTCCGTCTCGGTCACATACTTTTCACAACCAACTCACATCTCTTATTTTCTCTCCACTATAACTCCCAACTCTTGACGTCGTTACTGATATTTTTGTGCATGCCACTAACAAATGATGTATGAAGTCCTTTTCAGTTTCCGACAGATCCGCTCCACCTGTTCTTAATCAGTTCTAATTTTATGTTACTTTTTGATAAAAAAATTTCTTAAATCAGTTGCATTTTTTGAAATATTTCTTTTATGGAAACACATCATCTAAAACGTTCAGTTCATTATATTTTAGTAACATAATAAATTCTAAATGTTTTTCATATTTATTAAATAGATAATACATAACTCTCCATCATTATACTCAATAGGGACTTTTTTATTCTTAAAAAAAGAGAATTGAAAAAACTTGATGTTTGCTAACGTTGCTTGTCATAACATATTATATTAATAAATTCTAGTAAAAAAATCCAGATTCCAAAATTGTTTTATTTATTTTAAACAAATGTAAAAGTTCAACAGATGGTGCGTACATGATAAAGACAAACACCTCACTTGGCTACAGCAAAGTATTCTGCAAAAAAAATTATATCTGGTTGTTTTGGAGAAGGTTGGACACTAGTGATGAAAATTGATGGGAATAAGGTACAACTAAAAATGTTTAAATTTTTTCTTCAACAAGTGTAGTAGTATAAAATCATATATCATTGTATTTAATGATAAATGAAGGCATGAACAGATTGATAAAAATCTATTTACGTTGCATTAACGAGCATCATTTTTTTGAAATATTACTTTTTTATTTTTAAATTTGATGTTTTACTTGACCTTGATTTCCATTAAATCGTAGAAGTCCTTAATATTGGATCACGTTTGTCGTTACCACTCAAGCTCGGGTTTTAATGGACACTTGATCCGAGGCAATAAATACAACAACTGCACTACAATAAATATAGACGAAGAGTTTTTTAAGAAAAGACATGTTTTGGCATCTCATGATGCCATCTTCAGTATAAGTGAATAATTACATAAATAATACAAAGTTTATATAAAAGTAATATAAACAGTAACGTAAATATATAGATATGGATACATTACAATAAGGAAATGAGATAAATTTATGGAGATTCGACTAGGGTCTTTATCATATCGGCAAGCACGTAAAGATGAATGTAGTAGTCAACTTTCAAAACTTATTCTTGACTTTAAACCATTAAATTCCCTAAATGCATTTTGCTGTCAAAAACATATTAACTTCTTCACTAACTTTTTTCTACTAAAATATTTTAATAGAAGACGATGATCAGGTCAACAGTCTCTTTTGTAATTGCCTATGACATATTTCAAAGTTAATAAGACGCCCATCAGGCACTAAATTGGGCTACTGAAGAGAGCAGTCTTCGGTTATATTTGCGTATTATATTTATTAATATATTGTTCAGTAAATCGTGTTTCGTTTTATGTATCATGCGTAAAACTGCTGCATGAAACGATCCAAGAAATATTTTGGTTGGTTTACTACGAGTTGTCATCGGTCTGTGCAAGCAAAGATTAAAAATGTACAATCAACGTGATAATAAGCAATTATTGGACGAGGTTGAGCATGATATAAAGAATTGTTTGGACTGAGGTCAACGTTATCTTCCAAAGCGAAGCTGAGGCGGATAACAAGGACCGAGGTCTGAATAATTTTTGATATCATGCGAAATACGAATTCAATAATTGTTTTATTATTCATTTTAACTAAATGAAATATTATTAAAACTGATAAATGCAAAACATTTTTAAAATTTGCTAATTTTTTATTGAAACAAAACTTGTTTATTACAGGCCTTCGCGTTTTATTATGCTGTAAATATGTTCAAAAGCAGTTTCTTCGCTTTTTAGTGTTTTTCCCATTCTTTTTGCTCAAAAGCTTTCGCTTATTGTGTTTAGAAATTACGGTAAACATCGCTATTATTTTATTTTTCAAAACCCTTTTTCAATGGCGTCTATAATTGTAGATAGTATTATCCGTAGATGTGACGTCATAATTACAGATGTCGAGAATTATCTGCAGATAATTGACCAATCATCGCCAAAATTGCTTACATCGTGAATTATAATGGACATTATTACAAATACGATCGAGATAGCGAAAATGGAATTATTTTATCATTATTTATTACATTTTGATGGATGGAATTTTGATGTTCACATTATATATTTCAAATACTATTTTTATTTTAATGCACAAAATAAACACTGTTTTTCAAAAATTTTTCATTCATTTATGTTAAGAATTTATTAAATTTAGAAAACGTTCCAATATAATTCATCGCTTTGGAGCAACAAGGAGAGTTATAAGACGGAAAATGGTGAAACTGGATTAGGTCAAAATGAAACAAAACTTCCTACTTACTGGAGCACTCAAATAAAGAAGATGTGTGTTGGAATGAAAGTAAACAGTAAAATAAAATTCATAAGTTTTGAAATACAAGCTGAGTCCTTATACGAGCTCATTGCAGACGGAAAATATAGGAAGACCACTTTGAGCCGTAGCCAATGGTTGACATTGGTTGAAAATAGCTCACTTCAACAATATTGTGATAGAGAAGGCTTTAACGTCGTTGGACTACGTGGTGGAGACGCTGAAGTAAAGCTTGGCATTTTGGGAAATAATGAAAACGAATGTATTTCACCTGACTCTTTCATTGGCTTTGGTGGATCACATGACTGTAATTTTTGCGGCGTGAACAGCTGTGGTAATTTTGTTTCTTGGAGTAGCAATGACAAAAATGTTCGAACAATGGGATATATTTTTATTGCTTAGTTGTTGCATTAAAGGCATTGCTTGATATTTTTATTTTTTAATTTGTTCATTCTTTAGAAATACTGGAATGAATAAAGACTGAATTAACTAAAATAGAAAATTCACGATTTATAGTCAATACGTTTAACGCTGTAAAAGTTATACATTATTAAAATACAGAACAAAATCTTGGAGCCCAAGATGTTGCTGTAAAAAGTCACTACGCAAGTTTACAAGTTTCTTACAGTAGCAATGACAAACAAGTTCGAGCTATGGGATATATTTTTGTTATTTAGTAACTGTTATACAGGCAATGCTTGACGTTTTAATTGTCTCATTTCCCTCATGGAAATGCAAAACCAAACCAAATCGTAAAAGTTATACTTCATTAAAATAAGATTAAGATAAACTTCATTGCAAACTAAATGAATGTATATGGTTTTAATCGAAATGCAACAATTTCCTTGTATTTCGGAAATATGCTATAAATATTTAGTTTTTATGTCGAACAACTCTTTTAAATGCAGGAGAACAGCCAAAAATTGCTGTTAATTGTAAGAGTTAAAGGACAATGTTTAAGCCGCTATATTTTGTTCTTGACTGTACTGTTTTGTTTATCCGTAATGTTTTACGTGCGTGTTTGCGTGCACAATGTACAAGTACACTTTTCAGTTAACTTTATAACTTGTGAATGAATACAAGTTTTGGATGGATCACTCATGCATTTTACTTTTGCGCAGTTTGTGACAAACATTCGACAATGATATGGCATCGCAATTGCAGAACGTAACAAAGAAAATCCAAGAGCGTGTCTAAGACTTTAAATTTACGGTCTTTCGTGATAACATCAGACGGAAAATACCTAATATGCTTGTTAGATTGATGACATGAACGTCAAGTACACACCAAAGATATCCGTAAAATTAGAGTTAACGGAATAGCTGCGTCTGTTTCCGGGAATGGGAGTTAGCTTTCACGAACACGCTGCACGGATTTGTTGTCACAATGCATTGGCTATAAAAGCTGATGCACAATGAAATGCTGCTCATAATTAGAAAGGTATATTTCAGTTTAGATTTTTTTCTAAACATGTATTGCTCGGTGTACGGTTGCAACAGCGACTTTAAAATAATAAGAAGAATGATGTTCATTTCTTTCAGTTCCCTCATGGAAAATCAGAAGCACAGCAGAAGAGAAGAAAAATATGGATTGATTTTTGCAAAAGGAAATCACTCAAGCCATTGGCGAACAGTAGAATTTGCTCGCTCCATTTTGCTGAAGACGCGTACGAAACAGGGTGCACAAAATATTTCTTCAACAAATATAGTGCGAGGAGTCATTTCGAGTACGGTTAAAGAGCAATGCTGTGCCAACCTTAAAAAAACCATTATCTGTAACCCCATCAAACAAGCAGCTTTTGTCCGAAAAAAGGCAACGTAATAAGTTGATTTTTTACTTCATTCATATGACGAACATGCTAACAATTATAATGGTTGACAATGGTTATAACATTATCTGCATAACTCCATACAACAGTTCCACGACTTTCAAAACTTATTCTTGACTTTAAACCATTAAATTCCCAAATTGCATTTTGCTGTCAAAACATAATGACTTTGTTCACTAACTTTTTCTACTAAAATATTTTAATAGAAGACGATGATCAGGTCAACACTCTCTTTGCGATTGCCTATGACATATTTCAAAGTTAATGAGACACCCATCAGGCACTAAATTGGTCTACTGGGGAGAGCAGTCTTTGGTTAGATTTGCGTATTATATTTAGAAATACATTATTCAGTAAATCGTGTTTCATTTTACGTATTATGCGTAAAACTGGCGCATGAAACTATCTAAGAAATATTTTGGTTGGTTTACGAGTTGTCATCGGTCTGTGCAAGCAAAGATTAAAAATATGCAATCAACGTGTTAATAGCAATTATTGGACGAGATTGAGCATGATATAAAGAATTATTCAGACTGAGGTCAACGTTATCTTCCAAAGCGAAGCTGTGGCCGATAACAAGGACCGAGGTCTGAATAATATTTGATATCATGTGAAATACGAATTCAATAATTGTTTTATTATTCATTTTAACTAAATGAAATATTATTAAAACTGATAAACGCAAAACATTTTTACAACTTTGCTAATTTTTACTGAAACAAAACTTGTTTATTACAGGCCTTCGCGCTTTATTATGCTGTAAATATGTTCAAAAGCAGTTTCTTTGCTTTTTAGTGTTTTTTCCATACTTTTTGCTGAAAAGCTTTCGCTTATTGTGTTTAGAAATTACGGTAAACATCGCTATTATTTTATTTTTCAAAACCCTTTTTCAATGGCGTCAATAATTGTGGAAACTATTATCCGTAGATGTGACATCATAAATACAGATGTCGAGAATTATCTGCAGGTAATTGACCAATCATCGCCAAAATTGCTTACATCGTGAGTTATAATGGGCATTATTACCAATACGATCAAGATAGTGAAAATGGAATTAATTTATCATTATTTATTGCATTTTGATGGATGGAATTTTGATGTTCACATTATATATTTCAAATACTCTTTTTATTTTAATGCACAAAATAAACACTGTTTTTTCAAAAAATTTTTCGTTCGTTTATGATACGAAATTATTAAACTTAGAAAACGATTCGATATAATTCATCGCTTTGGAGCAACAAGGAGAGTTATATGACGGAAAAAAAGTGAAACTGGATTAGATGACCTTGAAACAAAACTTCCTACTTACTGGAGCACTAAAATAAAGAAGATGTGTGTTGGAATGAAAGTAAACAGTACAATAAAATTCATAAGTTTTGAAATGCAAGCTGAGTCCTTATACGACATCATTGCTGACGGAAAATATAGGAAAACCAATTTGAGTCGTAGCCAATGGTTGACATTAGTTAAAACAGCTCCTTTCAACAATACTGTGATGGAGAAGGCTTTAACGTCGTTGGAGAAGATAGTAAAACCGCTCGTGTAAATCTTGGCATTTTGGGAAATAATGAAAACGACTGTACTACACCTGGCTCTTTCATTGGCTTTGGTGGATCTTATGAACATAAATCTTGCGGTGTGAACAGCTGTGGTAATTTTGTTACTTGGAGTAATAATAACAAACAAGTTCGAGCTACGAGATATATTTTTGTTATTTAGTAACTGTTATACAGGCAATACTTGACGTTTTAATTGTCTCATTTTCATCATGGAAATGCAAAACCAAACCAAATCGTAAAAGTTATACTTCATTAAAATAAGATTAAGATATACTTCATTGCAAACTAAATGAATGTATATAGTTTTAATCGAAATGCAGCAATTTCTTTGTATTTCGGAAGTATGCTATAAATATTTAATTTTATGTCAAACAATTCTTTTAAATGCAGGAGAACAGCCAAAAATTGCTGTTAATTGTAAGAGTTAAAGGACAATGTTTAAGCCGCTGTATTTTGTTCTTGACTGTACTGTTTCGTATATCCGTAATGTTTTACGTGCTTGTTTGCGTGCACAATGTACAAGTACATTTTTCAATTAACTTTATAACTTATGAATGAATACAAGTTTTGGGTGGATCACTCATTCTTTTTACTTTTGCACAGTTTGTGACAAACCTTTGAAAATGATATGGCATCGCAATTGCAGAACATAACAAAGAACGTCAAAGAACATTTGTCTAATACTTTAAATTTACGGTCTTTTGTGATAAAAAATAGTAGTATTATCGAAAGGCTAATACGTTTTGGTGATAGTTTCTCTAGAGCAATAAATAATTATCCTATTTAGGATATGTGCAGTTAATATTGAATGAGGTCGTAAAACTAAGAAGCCAGTACTCGACTTTGAAGAAGGTTAAAGCTCATGCAGATATGATGCTAGCTCTTGAACCACAATCCCTTGTTGAACAATATTTAGCAGGAAAGGACAGACCCTCAAAGGAGCAAATTGTAGCCAACAAAAAAGCGAGATATAGTACACCAGCTATACCCGAAAGTTCACAAGGAGCAGACCTCACACAAATATTTGTAAATGTAAAGGAAAATTTGCCACATCAAAGTGTGATTGTAGAGCATTGGGATTGTTATGTCAAAATGAATGCAAATGTAGAGAGGCAAAGTGTATTAATCGAGAGTAGAGTTCAAACATAATTTTTTTAAAAAATAAATTAAGATATTACCGTTTTGATATTTTGGCAAATTAAAAATGCGTATAAAGTCCGTCTGGTGACGCAAAGCGTTTTCGTATGCTAGCATAAACACAAACAGGAAATGGTTTTCATGTTTCTTCCCAAAATTTGAAAAATCCACCTAGAACGTCTTTGATATGCGACTAATCGATACAGCTTGTGTATTCTCTCCAGATCCTCATCAGACAGGGACCAGTTTTCTTCAAAATACCGACACACGTCTATCTTTAACACACTTTCTGGCAGCATATTGTCCATAAATTCTTGGTGTGTTGTCAAGCAATACTCTCCTTGAGTTTCTGTTTGGCCTAGCAAAGCCTCATACTCATCGTAGTCAAGCGCTCTTTCGTAGCAACAAAAACACTCGATTGCCTTTTTCGACAAAGTACAATGTCCACACTTACATCAACTAATAGTTTGAAGGCGCCAAGCCTATAGGAATTTTAATATTCATATAGGTTTTTAATTCCCACTATTTTCTTAAAGGATTTCCAGTTGGAATTGCAAAACAAATCCATTATGGATTCCTATAGCATTTCATACAGGAATTTAATTATTCCTATAGGCTTTAAAATTGCCGCCATATTCTTAATATATTTCCTATAGGAATCGGAATAAAAATGAATTGAGTCGGTCTTCCTATAGGATTTCCTACAATAATTTAAATATTCCTATAGCCTTTAAAATTGCCGCCATTTTCTTAATATATTTCCTATCTGAATCGGAATAAAATGAATTCACTTTGCCTTCCTATAGGATTTCCTACAAGAATTTAAATATTCCTATAGGCTTTAAAAGTGACATCTTTTTCTTAATATATTTCCTATCGGAATCGGAATAAAAACGATTTCACTCTGCCTTCTTATAGGATTTCCTTCAGGAATCTTATATTCCTATTGGAATTCTAATAAGATCCTATTGATAATTTTCGTAAGGGCTAACGAAAGAGGAAAAAACAAATGACTTTCCAATTTTATTCTGCCTAGTTCAACACCAAATTTAAATTCGAATTTTTTTAATACACCCTGTATACAAAACAATTGTACTCGTGCCATTGTACATTTAATCTTTCAGAGTACACAATACGAGACATTACGTTGACATATTCTTGAATAATAATTAACATGAACATTTTTTATAAAGCACAGATAATTTTAAACAGGATTTTCCTTTTGGCTCTCTCTCCTTCTGCATGCGCTCGTTGCTTCTTTCCTCTTCTATAGTTTGCTGTTTTTTTGCAGGTCTGATTCTTGTCTTTAAGTATATTGTGTTGTCGGCATTCAGTTGTCTTCTTTCGCTGGTCTTTCATCATCTTATTCAATGGCCTTACGATTTTGCATCTCAAAACGTGAGTTTTGAAGATGTTGATTTAATTGGCGGCATATATCGTTTTGTGTCTTTTACTGCTTTGATTCGTGAGCTTTTGGACTGTCTTTTGCTCCTTTGTTGGTTTTCTGCATTTTGCGTTGTTTCATGTCAACTGAACTGTTTCGCATTATGTTGGGCCTTACCTGTCTTGTTTTGTTGTTTAGAGACTAATTTGTTTCCTTTGTGCTAAGCTGTTTAAATGTTCAGTTCTCTTGTTTCGTTGGATTTCCTCTTTTTTTTTCGCACTTATATTTGGTAGCATGGCGATTGGTTGGTCCTGTTATTATTGTAGATTATATCTCTGCTATGTCAAACTGTTGCTGATTAAATTTGCAGTTATTACATTAAATTGCTTATTTTGTATAATTATTGCTTTATTTGCTGAATATTAGAACACAATTTTTGATTAATATTTCTTGGTCTTTAGCTAGAGTAATTACCTTTCTTAAAGTGACATTACTTCACTTAAAGTTCCATTTACATTAAATTTGTATAAACATTAATGATTTGTACTTATGTTCAGTTGTTAGTTAGCTTCACATGGTTTTAATTTACCAAAACCACAAACATCAGTAAATGAGAAACTTCTCCTTCTGAAAAATGAAACTACTTTTAATGTCAGCATGTTCACTTAAGTTAACTTGTATGGTCACTCGTGTTATTTGTATGAAGAATTAAGCGTATAGTTTCTTCATGCGTGCAAAAATGCAATGGAAGCATATTGCACGCTTTGGTTTACGAACTAAGAGTCGCATCAAATTATTGTTGATGCAAGCATTGAAGGAGATTTGTTTTTATTACCTCACATTACATGTGCAATTAACAAGTAGAACTGCTATGGCTTTAGGTTGAATTTTTTGAATTTTTGTATATTTAGTTCATTTCACATTCTTGATATAAACTTAATATTACAATGAGTAAAGAGTTTACTGTGGAAGGAAAGACAGTAAGTGCCACAATCGTCACAATGTGATTTCCGCCTGTGTTAACATTGAGACAGTTACAGAAGATCGATTTGTCGTTGTATGGTAGAGGATATAATACCTCAGATCATTTCATGTCTAATACAACTAACTTATTTTTTTGGAGACAGGAAATATTATTGTAGTTAAAATAAAAGTTAGAAATGTTTAACTTTGAACATAATTTTTAATTCGTTATTTAACTTTTACAAATTTTGTTTAGAAAACGTTTGACTTTGACTCATCGCTTTGAAAAAATATAAATAGTTACAAGGTTGAAAATGGTAAAACAGGAATGGATGATTTGAAAACAAAACTTCCTACCTACTTGAGCACAAAAATAAACAAGATATGTGTTGGAATGAGATTTAATGGTGAGACAAATTTTATGAGCTTCGATTTCCAAGCTAAATCTTTGTACGATATGATTGCCGATAGAAAATACCGCCAAACCGATGTGAGCCGAAGCAAATGGATGTCATTAATTAAATACAGTGCTCTTCAACAAAACTGCAATAAAGAAGGTATCAACGCAAAGGCAGAAAGAGGGTTACATGCTCGTGTAAGGATTGGTATCCTGGGAAATAATGAAAACGATTGTGGGACAAGCAACTCTTTCATTGGTTTTGGTGGTCCATACAACGGTATTTATTGCGGGCAAATACCTCAAATCAACAGCTGCGGGAACTCAGCTTATTGTACAGGAAAACCGATAATAGAGCTTAAATCAATGGGATACATTTTTGTTCCTTAATTACAATAGTGGTAATAGGAACCACACTTGTTCTTGTTTCAGGCTATATATATTTTTAATTTGATTTATGTAGAACTAGCTGTAGATGTACTTTCTTTTTAAAGTAAGGTTTGCGAACTATATTCAACCATGTTTGTTTGAGTAATGTTTAGCAAATTTTTTCAAAACTTGTTAGAAAACAATTTTTTCAAAGGTTTCATTTGATTTTTCTATAATAAGCAAAAATATATATATATTAAACACAACAAAATTCACACCACTTGATGAAAATCCTACACTGACCCGAGAAGCTAAACTACAACGACTCCTAAGAAAGTTAAACGGAAGGGTTCAATTGACAGGCAAGTATACAATAACATTTTCCCAAAGGGCTCTCAACCATTCCGTTTTTGGCTTACCAAATTATACATGAAACGTGAAGCAGGACAACCACGTCCACTACGTCAATGATCCTTTGAAGCGACCTTCTCGGATGTTTAAATAGCAAAAGCAAGGTCAAGTTCTCACTTTAAGGTCAGTTTTGCTTCAGCTAATAATCGCTATTGAATCTTATGGTAATTTGTCCAACAAGCAAGTCAATCTCGCAACATTTCGTCCAAATTTCGACCAAATTCGCGATCCTCTGATTAGACGCTTTAATTCTGCCATTAACATTGAAAAGATCCTACTCTGGTTTTGGCATCTAGTGTTGAATTTTAAACGCTGTACTATTCTCTGTGAATGGTTCAGATGGCTTCGGTTGTAGTTATATCCTGTACCAGTAGCGCCAGCTCTTCGTAACTCCTAGTTTTGAGGACAACGATGGCTACCAAACTTTGAATCAACTTATACGTTTTGTCCCTACGCCAACCAAAAAGTCGATCGGTGTTTGGTTTCGTCTTCCATATCTTTGCCCTGAAAAGTGATTCTTAAAATCGACAAAATGTCGCTATTCTTTATTATTGCCATTAAATTCTTCGATTTTCACAAAAGTCGTCATATTAAATCTAATCCGTTTTAATTTGTCGGCCAGTGTGGTCGCCTAACTGGGTTTGAAATTCCTTTAATCGTAGTAAAACGTTTTCTTCGTCTTCAATATAGGGCTTATAGAGTTTTATTAATAGCAATCTTGCAAGAACAAATCCAACGCAACAAAACAACATGCATCATGAGTTGTCGTTCACAAGAGATCTGGCAGATGTCGTCATACATCACATTATGAAAACTAACTAATCACATTTATTTCATTATTGTTTTTTAAAGTAGATATTGTTAAGTGCATGTTCTAAACGAAATTAACATTTATTTTGAAAGACACTTGCACTATGTCCTTAAGTAATTTGATGCGGCAAGAAGATTACATGTTTTTAAATGTAGATCGTCCTGGTCGGTATAGTCCTGAGAAGGACTGTTTTTGTTGTTGTTGACTGACGTTTCGACAACCTTGGACGTAGTCATATTCAGATTCTTTTGACTTTGAAGATGACTACCGCTAAGGCTGTCGAAACGTCAGTCAACAACAACAAAAACAATCCTTCTCAGGACTATACCAACCTGGATGATCTACATTTACAAACATGTAACGATACTCCCGTGTTTAAACCATTTACTTTAAGAAGATTAAAGTAAAGAATCATGTTTTAAAAGAGAGAAAATAACTGACAACTACTTGCCAACAGATAAAAAAGTTGATATCTGTTAAAAATAATTACATTGAAGAGATTTCAAATATACTCTCAATATATAATGTCGACATATATAACGTCAATTTAAAATTTTTGTCACAAATTTACAAGTTGGCTACGCCATTGTATTTCCCATATCATCATTAACTCAGTTACAGGTGACTTAAAGTACTTTATTTATTACGAGTGATCTATTTGGTTTTTAAAACAATTTCATTTCCAAAAGAAATCAGCCAGGTACACTTTAATGTATTAATACTCACCCCTTTTCCAAAGTGAAGTCTAGTAATGGGCTTGGATTTCTTGAGACCTGTCTTTCTCAATGCCCATCATGTCTTTATCAATTTGTCTTTCATCATTTTAAGTTTGTCTCTTATCTTTTTAGTAAAGTCTTTGTCATCCTTTATTTTTTACTTTAACTTTCTCTTTCATCCTTTTAAGTTCCTGTTTCACCATTGTAATTTCCACTTGCAATAGGTCGTTGTTTTCATGCTTTTTCTAAAACTGTTGAAATGAGGTCAGACCCATAAATTTATTTCCAATTCATGTAACAAAAGTTTTGTCTCGAAGTTTCAGCCAATCTGCAGTTGGTTTTAAAAAGCTGTTGCTATTCAAACAAGACAATTTTTAAAGCTGTGCATCTTTGTTTCTAAATCAATTATCATTTTTGCCTAGAGAAGAGACATTGCTCTACATAAGATCATTAATTATGCTAACACTGATTCACGTTATATTTTAGTTTTTACAATAGCGTTGTAAATTTAGACTGTTTTTGTTCTCATTTAATAACTCCTTAAAAAATATTTGAGTTAAGTTATCTTATATTCACAGAAAAAAAAAGTTACTAAAGGTTGAGATTTATGTCGAAGTTTTATCCTTTTTTTTCACAAATACGTTGTACCGACGTATTTGGCGTTGATATTGGAGGCTATTAATATAGTGTTTCTCTTAATCTCAAACCTCCAAAATAAAATCTTTTCATTCAACTACCATCGTTAGACTTGACATCTTATTATTTTAGTAGTTGAAAAACTGTGATTTCTGACTTGGTAAAATAAACCTATAGTTAAAAAAGCTTGCACGATTGATTAAGCTTTCCTTTAAATTATTTTTGGGCGTATTAGCTTTTTTAAGTAGCGTTAATATCTTTTTTGCATTCTAATTTTGACTTAAAACTACCTACACTAACTTTCGCTATCTATGTTGATATCTAAGGGAAATGTAAAGACTGTTTTTCTTTCCTGTTGTTTATTCACCTCAGAAGACTGCTCTTATTCTCTTTTCTTCAATCATTATAAGGCAGTGAGCATATAGACTGTTCTATATTTTCAATCAAAGTGATATTTCTGAAATTAAAGTTAAAGAAGATTCTCCTATATAGGCTTCTCATTTATAAGAACTATTTGCTTTCTCAAAAAATTCCAATTACTCACAGTATAAAAGGGTTTGATTTGCTTATTTTATGCTTGAACTCGTTACTCATAATGATGATTGAATTCATAATGATGATTGAATTCATAATGATGATTGACTCGAATTCATAATGATGATTGACAGAAACAGAAGAAACAAAACAAAATAAAACTATTCGCAGCGTTTTCAATGTATTAAACTCAGAGATATCATTTTCCACAAAACTTTCTCCAAAATCACAGTCACTGGTCTAATAAACCAGGGGTCCAGAGTTCAATTCTCTGATAAGGCTGGTCTAACTAGTTCAATATATTTTTGAAATTTATAATATTATAACTACAAAGTTTGGATTAATTTTTAAAATCCATTTTTTAAATTACATAACGTTATTAATAAAAGTTAATAAATTTCTGGAAATTATTATACAGTGTGCTTCTTTTTATCATCACAAGAAATGTATTTTCAACATTTGATTGCATACCTAAAAATTGCATTTGTATGGTTTTTTAACTACATTTGTGCACAGTGTGAAATATGGAGTCTACACAATTCGGAGCAACACAACATCAAAGCTGGCTCATTTTGAATTGCTTCAGGTATTATCGAATGATAGAAATCATTGTTTGTAGTGTTTTTACTTTCAATGATGGAAGCATTTTGATTTTTAAGCAGGCCAGTGAAGTTGGTAGCAGTAATGCCATGGAACTGGAGGGAGCAAAAAGATCTTTTCAGTCTCTTGAGAAATCTGCGGTTACCATGGATGTTTTTATCAGTGACAGGCACAAAGGGATTGCAAAGTTGATCCGAAACGAAAAAAAGAAACAAAGCACTTTAATGATATCTGGTATGTTAATAAACGTATTGCTGTGTTATGTACGATATTTTCTCAATGCTGCCATCGAATGTCATTTTCTGCAAAGCTGGTCCTATTTCCTCTCAGCATCTGAACTCTAATTTGACTTCTAACAAATCGTTATGACAGCATTGACAATTACATCTGAGACGTGGGAGCATTGTGGTTTATTAAGTAACTTTATGTATATTACAAACAGGAGAAAATAACAACTTACCATACACCGAGTGGAATTACGCCATCACTTCGTTGTTCTAATATCGCAGGGAGAGTTCCATCGGGATCATCTGGAGTATGTGTTTCGTCACCATCTCCTTCGAGGGGTTCATCGTCATATGCGAAGTCGTTTAAATGCTCAACATAACCCACGGATTCCGAGCTCGAATCAGATACGCATTCAGACATCGAATTCGAGTTATCTGAGCAGTGATTTGAGGCCATACTTTCCGGACAACTTGTTTTTTAGTATTTTATTGAAAATACTGTCATTATTTGTTTTTAAGACAAGAAAAACGACAACAAAATCACCTTCTATAATATAACATTATATTGACGGAAACAGACGTGTTCAACTATCTACGTCACAAGTATCAATATGGCGTCGTAAAAAATTCGCAAATGGAACCCGAATTTGGAGGCAAAATTAAGCAACTTATATTTATCTGTTTAAGTCCAGCGACATGTCATAGTTCTTCAAATAATCCAAATTTTCAATTAAGCTCATAAAAAAGGGGGGCTAAAATTCGTGATATAACCACTTTAAATTTTTTTCTAAACAGATGTGAACAGAAACAAAAAACTTTTTATATCAACATGTATAAAGATAGTATGGTTTTACAGACCACAAAATTTTAATCGTCATAACATTTAATTGTAAAGCTTACACAACTCAATCCAACACTTCTCGCAGTGTTACCAAAAATTATTTTGATGTTTAAGTGATATGTAAACCATGCATAATGTGAATTCCATTCTTCTTATTGTATAAATCAGCACACTAAAGTATGGAAATTGGGTGAAATTTGTAACCAGATAAAGCCGTGTAGAAAACAATGCTATGGAACAGGCTTTTCACTGAGAAATCGTCGAGGAAAAATGACTGTGTATATGTAGAGAACACATTCAAAAAGTTCATGTCGTAGATAAAGAAGTGCAATTTGTAAAGAACTACCTATAGAAAAACAAAAATAAATTGTAATAAATCAGAGATCACTAATACGTATGTCAACTGACATTTTTGAAAAAAACTATTAAAACCAAACTAAAAACTATTTTTGTCCAAAAACAGAACTAATAACTTACGTGGGAAAGGCAAAAAAATCAACTTAGCTTAGCTAAATATTCACTCAAAAAAAGACTTTACGTACCTTTTTCATTACTGAAGATAATTTATAGAAAGAACAAAGAAGAAAATAATCAATGTTTTTTAATCTCACTTGACAAAATTCTCTAATGCAACCATAGCCAGAAAAAAACAAACGAACTGCCATTGCCATTGTCAAGGAAGCATTATCTAGTGTTAGAAATAAAAAACACATCGTAAGAAACTTTATTGTTGACTAGATGTGTATGCACTGGATTACCGTTGTCTTGAGATGTTTTCTCATAAACAGGAATGCCATTTGTTTTGTTAAAAATACCTCGTGTCGTGTTAGGAATGCTATATGTTGAACTATCATCTTTGTTTAAAAGCGTTGTCTTATAGCTGGGAATGCTAAATGCATAGAAGTTAAAAAAATTGTAAAAACACAAGATACATAAACAATTCAAGTGTGTAATATTTCCATGTGTTATTTCTTCACTTTTCTTTAAGATATTTCAAGCAGACAGGATGAGAAAGACATTTGTTGCTTTTATTATCCACCATCGCTTTGACAGCCATGTGTGCTAGGCTTACGTTTAGTAGACTTCATATTGCACTATGCAGGTAAAATAAAAGTTATAAAACATATTTATATGAAGATGTTATTCTTTTTAATGAATGGCACAGTAAAGAACGATGTGAAGAAGAGAATAAAAACAGAGTGAACATACCTTTGGCACTACCTTGTAAACATATGAAGTCGTATTCAACTGTATAGTTATCATATTCTGGGTCACCTGTGGAAATCATGCTGTTACAAACAGCTTGATAAGCCACATCTGACATGTTTTCGGAAACCAACTTTGCAATCAGGATCGTGAAACGATTTTTCCAAAACCAGAAAACAAAAATCAAAGTTCTTAAATTTTCGTTTTCTAAAGTTTATTAAAAGAAATGCGTTATAAGCAAGAGCCATTCTTATTCAACGAATATACTGATAAAGTAACACTTTTCTTACATTGTGAACTTAGGTATGCAATATCTTTTGCTTTAAAGAAAACACATGGTAATTAAGGTTACTATTATGACACATTAGTATCATAGCGCTATCTTGATCACCCCTTTAAATGGCCAAATTCATGCAGTTAATGATTTCATAATCGTTTGTAATGGCTGCCTTGTTGTCCTGTAAACATTCCAAAACGTTTTTCTTGCCATGTAAGGTAGCTTCCATCAGTGCTGTCCGTTTATCTTTAGTCTCGCAGTTTATCATGGAATAATCATGTTCTAGCAATAATTTAAGGACTTCGACATTTCGATCCTGTACTGCAATATGAAGAGTAGTGGATTCATCCTAGTTCTTAAAATTAAACATTTGGTTGAAATTTACTTTATTATATGGATAAACATTTAAAAAAAGTGATGTATTTTTAGGAACAATCTCATGTTGTTAACACTCTTCTCTTGTTGTTATTGTATAAAACATTCACTAAATGGTTTTCATTGATTAAAATGCTTTTCCAAACTCTTGGGAATGTTGCTCGAGTTAAGAAAAGCGGTACAAAAGTACTCGCCTTCGGCTCATGTTTTGAGCACTTCACTTAAATCTCGCTTATCTCCCGTGTGTTTGGATAAGGCAGTCCAAAAACAAATACCGTTTAGTAAAGGTTAATTCTTCTTTAGAATTATGCTTTTCTTTTAAAATAATTTCACTTGAGTATACTTTTTCAAATTTAATTGAAGGACGCAAGAAAAATTGTTCATAAAATTTGTTGTCTTTAAGTGGCTCAAATAATGTGAACCTAAATGCCTTTGTAGTTTTATTTATGAATTAAAAAGTGACATACGCAATAAGTTAGCTACTTAAGAGAAACATTTGTGCTAGATTTAGACATAGTTTTGTTCAATTTATAAAAATATTGTTGTCTCATTAGCTTTTGACGTCATTTTAGTAATGCGAGTTATTTTAACTTAGTATTTAATATAATTCGACGCCTTGTATACGTAAACAACGCGCTGTTATGACAATTTAAATTTACTAGTTTATAATGTCCCCTGGATGAGAAATGCTTCTTATTTTGTAACTTTAAATGCAAACGCAAAAATTGTTTCCTCCCTTTGATTCATTTGTTAAAATCCACCTATCAGCAAAAACTTTTTTCTCAAATATTAGAACAAGGTGTAATGTTTAATGTATCCGTGAAGAAAACGTTTTAACTTGTTCAAATCATCTTTTTGCTATGTCGGTTGTAAGTTGCCTCTAAATGGACCCTGTCTGTCTGCAAAAATCCGATTCTAGCAGAATTATCATATCATCGAAGGTATTTGGTATATATATCTTCTATTGACAAGTGCTTTGCATGACGTCACAAAAGTAAGTCAATCAAGACTTTTCGAACGACAGGCAACTTCCATTATAAGAAGAAATTTTGCCATGTATTTTACAATTTTCAAATATTTAAATGCTGCATTTACTGAGATTTAGCCTTTGAAATTAAGACAGTGCTTTTGAGTAAAGCAGAAAATTGTTTATTTCCGTACTAATTTCAAAATATTCTTTGCAAAGCAGTCTAATGCTATTTTTAGGGCATAAATAAGAGTTTTCTTACAGTGTCATTTTAATGGAAATGAATGAAAAATTAGCTATTAAGAGAAAACAAACAATATTTATTCGTTTGTTTATAGCATTGAGTGTTTTACTTGTAAATGTTGAATTATTGATGCCCTTTGTTACATTTTTTGCTTAATGTGAGCACACTATTTTAACTTAGGTAAATTCACAAAAATTATTTAACAGCATTTGTGAATGACAAGTTGCAATTTAAGTTAAACATTACGTGTTTAATAAACGTTTTGAAGGCATAACTTTTTAAATTTTGAGTAGAACAGATTACAAAGGGAATATTTTTTGCACTACACTGTATGATCGAGTAAACAATATTTAACATAAGATAATTATTTCATTACAAAAAAGCACTTAAAGAAGCGATCGTATCGAAAACTAATTTGTTTTTAGTGATTCACTTAGCTAAGCTGTTTTTTGACTACAATGTTTATGTGAGGCAACTTGTTTTTCAAATGCTGTATAAAGATGCTCTTGACGATTTTTTTGTGTTTTGTCTACTTTTATCAAATCATGTGTTTCAATTTTTGCTTCGATTCTTCACACAAAGGTAAGACACGTTATGTAGAAAATACTAGCTATAAATAGGGTTTGTCGTCAAATATTGAAAATTTGCATTTAACTAGACACAATTCTTTTTTTTTATCAAAACTATCTTTGAAGTATAGTTGTTCATTTCTAGATCGGAGACTGTGGAGCAATATATACAAAAAAATTGATGTGAAAAATGAGATAGAATGCATTGTTTCTTGCGCTAAGGAACCATGTTGTCGGTCTATAAACCACAGGAGAAAGTTAAGTCAAGGCGTTGGAGTCTTTGTGAAATGTTACATAGTGTACTCAACAACAGCAATGAAAACGATTTAAAACATAATCGATTTTATGATTACATTTTTTTCAACGCCCCATTCAAGGTAAAAATAAATTTTAAGTCAATAGAAGAATAATTGTGTTGGTAAAAATGTTCCTTCAGGAATACATAAGTATTATGTCAAAAAAACGTATGTCTAGTTATGTAATATTTTAAAATATCGGTTATTTAAACACAAATTGCATGTTCTCCTTTACAAATGATAATTTTTGTTGTTTAGGAGTACAATAAAACATGCGAAGTCCAATCGTGTAAGTTTCGATGGTTTTTACATACACTGTGGTTTTTTATTTTGATGTAAATATAAGAAATTTTAATTTATCCTTAGCACGCAAAAAAAGTTACGATTTGCTCTTCAAAAATGCAAATGTTGAGAACGTGATTCTATTGGATAATATGATGCCCAATATGTCTGCGATAACGTTGATGTTTTGGATAAAAATAAACTCAAGTCAACGAACGGCGGTGTTTTCTTACGCTATAGAAGATAGTCCAGATGAAGTTTTTGTTGGCGTTGAAAGAAATTGCTTTGTTGTCATAATGCAGTCCCAGCATATTTTGTAAGAGTAAAATGTTATAGTTTAGTTTCTTTCTTAGTAACAACAACTCTTTAAAATCGTACATTTGAAATTGTATGAGTTTCGTTAGCTTTTAAATAGCTTATATCACGAAATATTTTTTATTTTCAGAAGACCTAAACACAATACATTAAATTTTTGCTGTTGTTGCGAATAAACATACTACTTTATTTGCATCGTTCATTAATCAAAAGTTTGTTGAAATGCACAAACAATGCCATTTTGAACACAACACACACTCATTTTTATAGCGCGACATTTGCATTAGGTTGTTTTGCATAAGTTTTTTAGGTGGCCCAGAAGTCTGTTTAAGTTTTTTATTCAAACGATATGTGTATATAAGAAATATATTATTTGATTTATGCAGTAGCGTGCGGTGACCGAATTTAATAGGCAAGCGCTGGGGGTGAGGTTCGCGGCTTTTATACCTTACATCAGTTAAATGATATCTTGTAGTGACGTACATAACGTGCGTATATTGCTCATCTAGATTCATGTATTAGCAATAGAGGAAATAGCCAATCCTACACTTACTCGAACGCGCTACTTAAACTTACGCACTTAACTTTATAATTAGGTAAAACTACTCAAACTTCAAGTACATTATCCGCTGTGTAATAACTGCACCTTCTTTAACCAAATATATAAAAAGCCTGTAAATAAATTCTAACACATAGAACACTCACGACTGTTGTAAATAACTTCTTCGCTAGTGAATAAAATAATCACAAAATTTAATAGCGTTCTAGTACATTGAACTCACGTTCGGAGCTCATACGAAAGACTTATATATAACGCTAAAATCTACCTGATACAAATATCAAAACTACTACGCAAAAGGAAGCTCTTGTCAATATCATAATCTTGTATTACATGCTACAGATAATATCTTCTACATACATAAATTGCAAGACAATAGGCGCGAAATGTATTGTAGCAGTCGTGATTATAACAATTAAGAACAGCCAGTTTCGCGTACAAAATTGGCACGGTGTGTTACAAACTGAGGCCATGGCGTTGTTTAATGTTTATATTTTGGTATAATGACGTCATGGCAACGTGTTCTCCCGTTCTTCAAAATGTGTCTGGCACTGACTCGTACGTTTCAGAATATTGGAGAGTCGTGTTTATTATTTAGTATCTTGTACCTTTTACTTTTAGTCATTAATTTACGAATTCAACGACACAAGACTGACAAGAGCATAGTGTTTTGGTCATAATGCTAGTCATACTTTACCACAACACACGTTTGCGTGCATTTCGATATCTCTGCAGACTGCGGCCCCTGCTTGTTTACGCACATTGTGATCAGAAAATAATAAAATAACCAGTAAAGCACCTACTACTTTGAATTAGAAATCAGAACATTACCTTTCGCTCTCAGTCATCTTTTAATAAACGATAACAATAACGGCGTGAATAATTCGGATGTCCAATGTGTTGAATATAAGAATATTATTCGTGCGCTGATATGTGTTTAAAATTGCGAGCGTACAAGACTGTTGACCAATCGCTATCAAGCGGCGCCCTTAGAAGCGCCGCTTGCCTTTTCTCGATATTCCTCGAATAAGAAGCCTCCAAATCTAGATTAACGCATGCGCAAATGTTCAAATTGAGCTCCGAAGGCAAGCGCGCTTGCCTTGGTTAATAAATAATTAATTTAATCCACTTAATTTAATACACTTGACTCATCTTACCAGTGTAGCAAAGTGAAACCGAAAACCACGACAGTAAATCGCGTATAAATAGCAAGCATTTCAACTATAAAGACAATTTAGACAAAAGATTACATTGACATTGTTTAGAACCGAAAAATTTAAACTGATTTTGCTCAGAGATTGATCCAAAAAATTTTTGTTCGGTAAAATGCTTAGGTAAGCGGCGCTTGCCTACGCTTGCATGACCGCACGCCACTGGATTTATGTATATTGTTTGTCACGCAAGCGATCTCGCGTGACTTCCACGTTTGTATGCTTTAAACGTTCTTTTATTTTAACAATGCTTGCAACTCTCAACACAAAATTACCGAGTGCTAACACAAAAACTTTCACAAAAATGTAAATATCACATAAGTACATAGCAAAAAACGTAATACAAATATGTATTATTAATAAAGAACTGTTTTACAATATTTTTGCAGTTTTCTAACATTCGAATGTATTTCTAAGCATACGAAAAATGCGAATGTTTTAAGGGTTTGTTGCAAATATTTAGTAAAACCTATGCTGGGGACACATATCTAAACATTCGTCATATTTTTTAAGCTTAAACACATTGCAGATAGGCTACAAATGTTTTCAATTGTTTTCACAGAAATTAAGCCAGTCTGCATAGCGTCTGAGCATTCAAAAATATGGCGAATGTATAGATAGGTTACCAAAGCATAGGTTTTCCTAAATATTTGCCACAAACCTTTAAAACATTCGTATTTTTTGTATACTTAGAAATACATTTGAGTACTAAAAAATTTCAAAAATATTGCAAAATTATTTGTGATTAATGAAATGTATTTATTTTCATGTTTTGCCATGTACTTATAAGATATTTACAGTTTGGTGAAAGTGTGTGTGTTAACGGTCAGTAATATCGTGTGAAGAGTTGCTAACCTAGTTAAAATATACGACCTTTAAAATCATACAAACCAGGAATTTACGCAAGTTCGTGAGCGTGTCAAATATTGCACATAAATGAAATTATGTATTTACTATTTACATAAATCGATTGAATAAAAAAACTTAAACAGATTTCTGGGCCGCATATGGTAGTTTACATTTAAAAATTCGATATGCACTGTTTTGAAACTTAGCTATTCACGATAAGTTGCATGATTTTCCTTATTGAAATTTGGTCCAAAGTTAGTATAAAAGAGGGGATTTGGTGAGAACTGAACACACTGAAAATGTGAAGTGATGAAACATTTTTCGTTTATAAAAAAAATTTCCAGTTTCTTTATTTGTATTCTATTAAAATAGCGTTTAAGAATTCTCAAAAAATATCTTGTTTTGGATAAAAAATTCCAGAAGTATGCAGTTACAATATTAAGCTTTTTATTTAATGAAAATCATCCTAGTTGCCTTAAACTTACTTGTTTTCGTTATATAATAGAGAACTCAACATTTCGGCAATCAACGACGGTATCTGGCATCACCTGGCCATCATAATTGGTCGCACTCGTAAAAAAATATTTCTTGATGGAATTACAATTTATAACAAAACTATGGTCAATCATTCATTACCTTTATTACGTGGTGGTGGTGTTGTTGCTATTGGTCAAAAACTTGAATGTGAGAATGGTGTTTTTAATCCAAATATGTCATTTGTTGGTGAAATAAGTTATTTAAACTTGTGGAATCATGACGTTGTTTGTGAGAATTCCAGTCCTATGTTGCTGATTAATGATAAATGCACCACTGGTCTAAATAAAAGTACTGTTGTATTCAAGTGGAATCATGTGTACCAATTTACAAGTGAAAATGTTGTTAAAGTTCCCTCATTACGTAAGTTTAGTACGTCGAATTGGCTTTTTTTCCTCCAATAATTTCATAATTAAGATAAAGTTTTTAAAACGATTCTAAGTAAAAAAACTACCGGCGCATTTTACTAAAACTCATTTTCTTTCAAGTGGTTATGAAATTAAATTTTACCTAATTATTTTTTGCTATGAATTAAAAGTTTAGAATGCGTTGAGTATGATGAGGGTTTAACTTTTTTCATAACTCCTATGGATAAAAAAATATAGGTGGTTGAAGTTGCTGTTTTTGAAAAAAATTGTTTTGTGACATGTCCGTGCCCTGGACACTAGTTTCAAGAAGCTCGTGACGTCATTGGTTGTGTTGCCCATGTAAACAATGACAGCGCAATACAAAATTATAAAAATCAAAATATTTTTAATAGAGAAAGTTCATTTGAATTTTCATGCGACAGTGTCATTTTTAAATGAGATTTTCTTTCCCAAAGAATCGTTTTTATCCCTTAAATTTTTCACTAGACACTTTTCAAGGTTTACACTCTGTAATTGTATAAAAATACAAAACCATGAAATTTCGTTTCATAAACACTTTAAAGCTAAATATTGAAATTAAGACCACGTCGCAAATTTTGTCGAAAACTGCTTCGCTTCGATTGTTAGCAGTTTCTATTTTCCACAATTGAATGTCTTCAAATCGCTGGGTTGTTTGCTCCAAATGATACTTTAACAGTTCAATTTCTTTGCTTATTTGGACGTCAATTTATTGCTTGCTACTATTGATGACTGATGGCACCATTTGTCGAGCGCTCATAAACACAAAAAACTCAGCACATTAAATTCAACAAACGTTTTAAAAAAAATATAGAAAAAATTTTTTATATATTATGCGTTCATAACAATGTCCTTTCATATCCGATGTATAGTCATACTCGTGCATCACCTTATATGACATATTACGTATTCTTTTAGGTCATCCCACATTTAATTGATGCATGTCTAACGCTTTGTAGCACTTACTTTTTAAATTTTTCATCATGCAAAGAAGCAATGAAATATGGCAGGTATGGTATGATAACAACGTAGCTAGTTACCTTACACTATAAATGAAGAGGTAACTTGAAGTCTTTATTGAGTTAAAAAAGTTAAGTGTACCAAACATATAACTCTTTGATAAAATAAATATTTTCTTAAAGCA